AAAAGTCTAAAGTTCTATTGGAGAACTTTCTTGATTGCCACGTTCTCACCCTTATGGCTGATTCTAAGCCCAAACAGCCTGAATGACAACTCATATGCTTAATGTTAAAATAGCAATGAAGTGCTTTAAACCAGGATCTAAATATTTCATACAGATATGATCAGAAGCATGTATTCATCTTGGACAGGAAATCACATTCCATTTACATACCTCCTTGTCTTTGAGTGTATGGTCTGAAGTTCAGAGCCTTAAAAATACATTTATTTCAAAGGGTGCTGGATCTGGCATTAATGAATAACTCTGGCTGCAGTAATATGCTATTTGAAAATATTTAATTGAGGTCTGAAAACTCCGTGGAATACCAAAGCAATTTTCAGTACACTTTGACTAAATTCAATGGCCAAAACTTTCAAACACTTGTGGGTCAAGCCCTAAAAAAACTGAAACTGGAAGACTTGATGGTACAACCCTTATTTCAAGAAAACCAAGCTCTAATTGTGGCCTTCCAGCTACCTGAGGGAACTTAGAGGAAAGCTGGGGAGGGGCTATTTACAAGAGCCTGGAGTGAAGGACAAGGGGGAATGGCTTCAAAATGAAGGAAAGTAGGTTTAGATCACACTTGAGAAAGAAATTCTTTACTATGAGGATTGTGAGGCCCTGGCACAGGTTATTGTAAATGCAATAACATATGCCAACCCCAGTGAGGGGAAGGAATGATGCATCTGACTCAATCTTATCAGAAGGCTAATTTATTACTTTATTATACTATATTATATTAAAGAATGCTATACTATACTAAAGAATACAAAAAATACTTACTAAATGTTAAAAAGATAATAATAAAAACTTGTGACTCTTTCCAGAGTCCCAACACAGCCCCAATTGGCCTATGAGTTAAGACAACTCACACCAGAGTCCAACCAAGCAATCACCTGTGAGTAAAAAATTTCCAAACCCATTCCACATGAACACAACACAAGCAAATGAAATAAAAATTGTTTTCTTTTTTTTTTCTGAAGTCTCTTGTTGCCTTTCTGCTTCCCAAGAGAAAAAAAAAAAAAAACCTAGACGAAGAAATCATGTTAAAAAAATGTGGATATCACAACAACATGTTGCCTGGAGAAGCTGTGGATGCCCCATCCATGGAAATGTTCAAGGCCAGGTTGGATGGATCTTTGAGCAACATGGTCTAGTGAAAAATGTCCCTGTCCATGGCACAGGGGTTGGAACTAGACGATGTTTAAGGTCCCTTCAAACCCAAACCATTCCATGATTCCACCCCTGGGGCTTATACTGAACACAGTCAACAAATTTGCTGCCTTGGAAGCAAATACTGGCTATAAGCAATACCAGCACACTACTGCAAGTTTTCAAAGTTAATTGAATCAGCATATAAAAATGTTTTCCCTGTGTAATAAATCTCACTATAATCAACCTCTCCATGGCAGGCACTTCCATATGATATGCAAATTTCAATTATTTATTTAGAATATATTCAGCGTTTTCATATGACTCCATTTTCTGTTTAAAAAATTTGGGAGTTGAATTAAATAACCAGCTCTCCTTTGGAAAATGTTATTAACAACATTGAATGCCAACATAATAATGGAGCTTTTCAAATAATCAGACTACAAATATACTTTGGAAGTGAAAAAAGGGTTTCACTCAAACTTCCTTTAGGATCTTCCTGGGTAAATCTGCTATGCTGACTTCTTTACAATACGCAACACAAAAAGAGATAAAGGTTTAAGCATATTTTACCTATTTTTCCCTGACACGAGAGAAAAACTGAATGATGTAATCATTATTTATTTCCATTTTAAAGTTCAGTCTCAATGAACTCATGCTGGATTTCCAAGTGTAAAAACATGAACACCTTGAAGGAGAAATATAGGCCACTGACAAAAATGTACTAGTGACCCACTGACATTATGAATCTGTTTCTCATTGTTGTTAAACACTCTGGAGAAAAGCTAGGTGACCTTATTCAAGGTAAAAAAATAAAAAGGAAGCACCAGAAAACAGATGTTATCTAATGGAACTTTTTCACAGTTTACTGAATTTCTCATTGTTTCTTGAGAGACAGGAAAACCATGGCAAAAAAAGAGTCAAATGTAAGCCACACAATGAAATTACAAGTTACAGACAGAGATATGGAGTTCTTTTTATTCCCCGAGCAGCAAATGATTCCCCTCCATCAGAGTAACTCAATATAGAACAAGACCACAACTTGTCCCATGGCTAGTTACTATTTAAATTTGTACAAAGCATGTTTTCTTTTGTGATTATGATCATGTAATCTCACTAGGAATTGAAGAATTTTCATGCTGATGGCCTTCTCTTAAAATTGCAAAACTGAAGTTGTGAATTTCTGTTCTTTATTTTTTGTTGTTGTTTTTGCAGAAAATGGTATCGAATTTATAATCTGCATTACTTCAGTGCAGACCAGACTCACTAAAAATAATTTCTAAATGAGCATTTGCATTTAATAAATTTTTCACACTTGTTTATTTTTTGGGATTCACATGCAAAAATTAAATTTATATGAAAGAAATAACTGAAATATATGTATCACATGGTCAAAAAATGGATCAGTAATACATACAGCAGGAAAACAAAGATTCATAATTAAACTAGATTAAATCATATGCCTCATCAAAATGAGGGGTGTGTAATTAAAAAAACTTAAATACAAATCTTTTATGTATAGTCAGTGTATATACACCTCCACGTATCACAGGAAGTTTGATTATAGACAGGTAAGTGATTAATGCTAAACTGTGATAGAAGGATATATCAAAAAAAGATATTTGAAGGTGCATAAATAAGAATTGTTTGATGCTAGATCCAAAATATCAGCATGTGAATGATTAGTTGCACCCATCACAGATATTTCTCCTCTTTTTTCTTTCTGGCCCCTTGAATATTTAATTTCACTCTTTAAAAGAGAAGAAATTCAAAAGGAGAATAATTGTAGAAAATCCACTGGATAAAGACAGCAGACACACAGAGGGTGTAGATTTCAATTTCCCCTGATCCCACCCTTCTGGCTGTGCCTCATTGTGACAGACACAAGAAAAATAAGTAACTGCAGGAAAGGAGAGTCTGGTGAGGACGGGAAACACCATCTGAAGCTGTTCATACGTATTCTTACCATCAGCATTTCCTATTAAATGGAGATAATTGATCTGGGTTCTCTGGATTCCATTCTGAACCTTCCCTTGTCCAAGGGAGCAAAGACAACCTGTAGATTTTTGACCTGGTGATTGGTTTGTAGAATGGTGCCATGTTTAATGCCATGCTGCTGAAATGCCATTGGATGTGTGTGCCCCTTGGCCACCCCCTAATCAAACAGGAACCTCTTAACTGGCACAAGCTAAGAACAATTTTTGACTGTTACTAGAAACACATTCTGGCAACACCTTATGGGCTCAACTTCTGTGAAAATTCCCACAAACTATTTCTGAATACAATCCCTGCATTCAATTTGGCAAGGACAACAAGAAACTCAGGATTCTAGTTTAGGTGGGTAGTATCTCTTTCCCTGCAGATGAAGGTTTTGCCTGTGATTTTTGCCTTCAGAGAGGAGAAAAAGTGATTGTTTTTGTCTGCCTGTGTGGCTTTGAGGTCTGCCTTCTCCCTTTCCAAACTAATCCAATAAAATAAAAAGTGTTATGGAAAGCATGACTCCTATGAGAGAGGAGTAGTCTGACTTTGAGGGAGAAAAAGTGTCTGCATTAGGATGATAAATGACTGACTATAATTAATTGATCAATTAATTGATTTTACAATAAAATCCAGTATTAGAAGTAGTGGCCTTAAATACACCATGACCTGCAGTTTTATCTGATAAATTATGCTCCATCAAAATCCACACTCAGCAGTTATTTATTGTGCAAAGTTCCAAATTGGATCTTCTACTTCTGAATTAATTTGGATCTTAAGTATTTTGCATTTGTATTGCCATCCAAAAGGGTTTGTGTAAAAATCATGTTTAAAAAAGGGATATACAATATTTACAGTAGGAACATGCTTGACTTTCTATGATATTAAAAAAGCTTAGCAAAAGGGAACAATGCTCATCATCTAAATGTCTGCTCTAGAAAAATTATTCCTAGGGTACTTTCAAGATGCTGCTCTCCGTGGATTCAATTTATGTTCTGCATCTACAATAAAGGGCAAATGTCTCTGCAGTTCCCTGCTGAAATCGGTGTTGGGCTTGTACTTCTCAGTCTCACAGCTTGGAAGAATGCCATTGCAAAGGAGCACGGAAAAGGGAAATGAGCCACCACAGAGAAAGTCAAGAGTGAAGATGCACTTCAAATCAATTTTGCCACGATGTTGAGCTCTTGTCATGTCTGCTAGGAATGGATTTTAACAGATAGGAGAGAATAATCTCAGGGCTACTATTCTCCTAATCACATAGATTTTGGGGGTTTTTTCCTTTTTTTTTTTTATCTTTTCTAGAAAAACCAAAATTTTAAAGATTTTTTAAAATGTATATTTTTAAATGGTGCTAAATGTCTAATTGATTTCCACCACATTGGTTCTATCTTGGGAAAAAGATGCTATTTAACCTATAAAATGTTGTAGACAGATTATTAAATCAGACTTTGTTACGCTTACTGCTGTGTTGTAATGGTGAAGAGACAATGGAAGAGATAAAAGATGATGGAATCAATCTGATGAAGTATTGGAAAGAAATTTGAAATGGCATTTGACAACATATCAAATAAAGGGCACAATTCAATAAGGGATCACAATTCAAATGTTCAGTAGTGTATAGAAGACTACACCATTTTAAAACCACTAAAATATGTTTTTATAAGTACTATCCTACTGCACAGGACAAAAACTGAGGAATAAGATTTCAGAATAGCTGAAAAATCACAAGAATTGCTCATAACCACTCCAAGGGTATTCCACAACTAACTGAAATATAGGTCATAAGACTTAAAAAGAAAAAAAAAAAAAAGGAAAATTCAGCTTCAAATACTTACCATAAACCCATCACTACAGTTACACACATCAGCATCTTTGAGTTCAGCTTGCAGCAGCAGTTAGGCGCTGTTGGCAAAAAGAGAAAGCAAAGTTTGTTGCTACAAATTTCTGGATTATCGCTCAAAATATCCATGTCTGCAGTCTGGTTTAGAGCAGCCCCATGGTAAGAATGTATTTGGGATTTGTTATCGTTTGGGCAGGCATGGCAAGATAAGATCTTAACAACTATATTCGAAACGTGCACAAGTTGGTTTCCACTGCCTGCAGTGCTGCATTGATTCCTATCTCCTTCCTGAGTAATTTCACTAACAAAAGGGTCATAGCAAATGTACACAGAGCCAATAAGCCTACAGACATTAACTCCCCCCTGCTCCCCAAAGTCTTTATATAACAAAAATTGTGAGTGGTTGATTGTGGCTTAGATACACTGCCAAAGGAGTTTTCATCGACTCGCCGTTTATTCACATTGCAACATTCTCAAATTCACTTCATCTATTTTTAGAGACAGAAAATAAACATTTATGTGATCAAAATAAATAATACAGGACTACTGAAACACATCTCAAAGGTTTGCTATTCAGAATGCCACCAGCTCCTGCCAAGGAAGTACACTCAGCACTAGCCACACTTCAGGTTTTAGCCATTTATTTTTGACATAATGAAAATGCCTTCTCTCTGAGTACACGGCCACTCTTCCTCTCTTGCATCAGAGTCTACAAGCTATTGAGGGTAAAAGATGTATGAGCCTGTTCAGCCTGAGAGCCAGCAACTTAGTCAGTATGTTTCTTTTTTTAGTATTTAATATCTTTCCTGACTGCAGCAGATTTAGTGTGCTTGGAAGTTAACACTGAAGTATTTGGACTGCCACTGTTTGAGCGACAGAGACCACTGAGAAAGGATAGCAAATCAGAATTTCTGCTTGCTCTACATTTAAACACATTGTTCAAGAGACAGGATAAATACTTTTTTTCTTTAAAAAGGAATCCCACCCATCAGGCCACTGTGCCACTGTGAGCACACGTTGCTGCTCAGCAGACACGTCTCTGCAACCACAGCTGCTCACATTCCTTTGTGGATGCTTACAGCCTGCAGACTCAAAGTCCTGAAATGAAGATGAAAAGGGAAAAAAAACCACTGGATTCTAGATGATCTGACTGGCTTCAGACCGAGGAATCTGAGGAGGCAGCTGCTTAAATCTTTGGAGGGGGGTTATCTAAATAAACCTGAGGGATTAATATATTACACCATTCCCAGATAACCTATCTGCAAAGGCATTAACTAAGAGTTTGGAACACAAGTAAAAGCATTCACCACTTCTACTTCAGCAGCCCAAAACTGCAGCCAAGCCACATGAGAGTGCATACTGACACCAGATCAGTCCTTTCTAAAGATCTATTCAGAACTGCATTGTTCCCTGCAATCAGCAGTTTTAGGCCAAATTCTATGAATCCCACTGACCTTGTCTTTTATCAAATAAAATATGAAGCACTGGTGAATGGAATGGAAATTTTAACTAAGCTCAACAACAGTTTAAGCATTCCATGCTGGGATATGCAAAAGAACAAGGCTATTCTGTAAAAGTACAAGCAGACATGTAGCAGATTAGATTGTCTGCACCAGCATCTCTGAAATTCAATCCTTTCTTAAATCATTTCAAAGGCAGATGGACAGTGTTTTGCCAAGTCTGCAATTTAGTAGCAATGAAATTGCCTCATGAATGTGAAGTTAGATGACTGCTTAGAATTTCATATATTTGTGAGAGAACAGAGGCAGAATTATCTGAGGTCTTCTAAACTGCAAGAAAAGAGAGGAAATTGGCTACATGCTGAAGCATCGACAAAAGGACAAGTTGAATCTGTTTATAAGAATGCTGGCAGAAGATTTAAGTGCCTTACAATTTCAAATCAAAGGCCTGCAGGTGGAGAAAAGCTGGAGAGAAAAAAGAGAAATCTGCAAATACACTTACACTTTGCTTCTGATATGAGATAGAAAAGTGGAACAGAGAAACTAAGAGAGGAGGAGGAATATCAGGAATTTTTAGTATAGGTAAGTATTTCTGAGCTCAAATTTGCAAAAATTTAGGAGATAATGGGGGGAAAATGACTATGGTAAACACATTTGAAAGAATCCCCTGGCATATAAAACAGAAAAAAAAGAAAAATTACAGGCTATTTAGTTTTGTATGATAGCAAGGATATTTAAATACCTAGTGGCTATATTTTGGTTTTATGAATTTGTTAGGATACTTGCATTATAAGCTATGAAAGCCACTTGTAGTTTACTTTGCAATACTACCCTTCAGTTGTCTTCTTCAGTGTTATATTTGAAGGAGAGGCTTTATAACAGATTTTCCTGCAGTTGGTTTTAGTTTGTGCAAAGAGTACCTGTGCAAAGGATGACAACATTGGTAGATAACAGAGCTAAAATGTACTTCTATCTTTATAATGATACAAAAATCTCATTACTCTTGATATGCTGTACTGGGTACTTTTCTACAAGGGAGACAGGGAAAAGGAGGACATCCCCAGATATCCTCTTGTTTGGAACATCAACATCCCTACAGTTACTAAACATTAATAAGAGCACTCAAAAATGGCAGATCAGTTCTGAAGAAAGGGATGAAAAGCCTAAAAACGATTTTTTAAAGGACTCAGACTTCTGAAATAGATATGACTTTAGGTATCTGACTTCAGCTCTGTGATCCAAGAAGTTTCTGTTCATTGTCACTTTAATAATAAGGCTTTGCAAACACTGTCTATATGATTTTGCTTTGAAACTTTATTTCTGCATTTACTTGTCTCAATTTCACCCTGTTTCAATGTCAGAAGAATAAGAAAAATTGACAGGATAATGTTTAGGTTTTTAGACTCCCATTTTTGAGCTCAGAGCATGTTCACACTCCCACTGATGGCATGCTTGACCCACAGGTTTAACCCTCTGCCTCTTCAAAAGTCTCTCAATGGTTTGGCTGACGCTTATCGCGGACATCCTTTCGTGAAAAATCCTTTCCTTAGGATTTTTCCTCCTGAGAAGCTGGGAGGCCTCAGGAACAAATTGCAAACATTGATTATCTGCTGCTGTGGAATGCAACAGGTGCATCTGTGATTGGCCCATGTTGGATGTTTGTAATTAATGGTCAATCACAGTGAGATGGCTCGGGCTCTCTGTCCGACTCACAAACCTTTGTTATCATTCTTTGCTATTCTATTCTTAGCTAGCCAGCTGATGAAACTTTTTCTTCTATTCTTTTAGTATAGTTTTAATGTAATATATATCATAAAATAATAAATCAAGCCTTGTGAAACATGGAGTCAGATCCTCATCTCTTCCCCAATCCAAGAGCCCCTGTGAACGCCGTCACAGACACTCACCTTGGGTAGCAGCCTCATGCAGAAACAGCAGTGTTCAGATCCACCTCAGCCAAATTTCAAGGAATCCAGCCCCAGAAAACAAGGCAGCCTGGATCAGAGCACCACAGAATGATGCAGTCTGTCCTGCAATATCTGGACCTGTCTACTTTCATCATCCCCAGCAGGCACAGTGATTACCGTCTGGCGATTCAAGAAACATCTGTGACATATTTTCAGAACTTATTTCAGTCCTCTCCATTTTCTTTCATCACAATCTTTTGTCTTTACTCCCTGTTACTTACCTATTGCAACACTGGAACTGTAAATTCAGTTTTGCTAGTCTCTCTTTTTATTTTGTCTTTTAATCTTTGCCTCACTTTCCCATCCTCCCATGTCACAGCACAAATAAACTTGTCCCACCCCCTAGCCTCTTTAACTACCATTTCTCCTCTCTATTCAATCTCTTTACACTCAGAAATAGCACTCTGTGTCCTGCCTTGAACTGCCAGCTCCCTTCAGTACAGCTAAGTAACTCTTGAAATCAGTCTCCTTTTGGCTTCTCTGACTCTGCACTATGATAATTTTCTCCTGCTGTCTTTCTTCTACAGAACTCTCTAGATTTTGTTGTGGTTCTTGGTGGGAAATTCAAAATACATATTATTTTGTCTCCTTCACTCTTGCCTTTATATTTATCTCAGGCTACCCTTACCTGCAAATTTAAATACTTTTTAAATACAACTAACAGCCCTCAGCATCCCAGACCCATTGCCCCCTTGTCTCTCTGACATCTTTCAAATTCTACAAAATTAAAATAGGCATCTTAATATTCACTTGCACCACTTTTTAATCTGAATGGCCAGCATTTCACTGCCATGTTTGTATATAAATACAAAACAAATTTGGTCCCCTCCATTTATTAAAAATGTTGCTGCAAAGACTGGTCTTCTACTACAAAGTTGTGTCCATGTCACCCCTCTCTTTTCATTCTTGTAATACTGGGTCACTTTTTTGTATGGAACACAATCTCCTTGTGTTTATTCCTCCTGCCAAGAACATCATGGACTCATCCAATTCCCCATTCAGCAATTTCCAGTAATTCAGCAGCAGGAACTCCAAATGACTTCTCAGCTCAGTCTCCATATTTTAACTGCTCCACCTCTCAGGTGACAAAGTAAAAAACATCCCCATCATTCTCCACCCCATTCATGAAAAAATCTCCCCTATTATGAAGCCTCAGAAAACCTGATAGTGCGTCTTGTTAAGGTCTGTGAGTACGGGGTGCCTTGACTGTGCTTGTGCACTGCACTTTTTAGCACCTGGTATTTCATTTTACCCTTGGATCAGCTTGGCAGGGGCTCTCATTCATGCACTGATGCAATCCCACATTTATGATGCTGTGTAGGAATGTTCTCATAGTGGGGACGCCTGGTTGCAGCTCCTGGTTCATGCTCAAGACTGGTCCTTGTTCAGGTTCAAAGCTGGTCCTGAAATGGGAAGGAGAGAGGGAATTATAAGGAATTTTTATAGCGATAGATGTCTTCATAAAGAATATACAGTCTGGAAAACTGACACAAGTTGCAGAGGACAAAATAGAAAAGTCACGTGAAGAATCTTTTCACCAAGAGAAAAACTGGATTCCCAGAAGGGCTTCAAGCAAAAAGTCACTTCTCTTCTTCTTTTTGCCTTTCTCCCTGCCCTAGCCTTGCAGACGTGAGTTGTTCTAAAGGCAGGAGTCACATTCATGTTCACAGATTGAAAATCATGCAGAGCAATGCAGCATCTATTGTCATGACCAGAGAGCAAGGAGAGGAGTGAGGAGCTAAAAAAACTATTTCTCTTCTAGACATATTTAGGTATGTAAATAATTTGTTTTGATGGCTTTATTCTAAATTGATGCACCTATCAATACCGTTGCTGCTGTTACAATAAACTAAAAAAATCTGTCCAATTCTTTTCAGTGTAAATTTCTTTGACTCTTGGATTTGCAGGATCAGTATTACCTCTTGAGTTGTTTGCCATTTTGAACTAAAAGCTTAAGGTATTTTTAATATTCTTTGTGAAACAATATTTGCAGTGAAATGGTACTCGGGAAAGTAGTAGAAATATGTCACAGGAAGCAAGAATGTTTATACTGAATTACCTGATTTCTGTCTTTTGTGATTCTGCATATTTAGCATCATTTGGTTTAGGATTAAAGACCAGCAAAAATGACTGCTAAAGCCTTATAAGTACATTTAATCCTATTTTATACTGAGGCCTTTATTGAATCATGTATTTAAAGTTACACTCATGAGAAGTGCAGAGAAATGCACACTGAACTGGTCTTATATAGCAGTTAAAAGCCTTCTTCAAATGCTAATCATTTATAATTAGTCTACTTCAATTAGTAATGAACAAATTGCCCTCTCCAAGAAAAGAGAATATATTCCATGTGCTGATTAAAAGGGAAGAGTGATCTTCAAATTCTGAAGCAAATGATTGATGCGAAGCAAAACTCTCTCACAATTTTGTTCTTTTAACTCTTTGATGAACTGATCAACAAAGGCAAGTTTCCCAAAAGTCTTAGAAACATTATTAGCAATTCACATAAAGAAAAGCACATCTGTGTTCATACGTTCTCACTTTAAATACATCCTTACTTTAGAGCTATTTTATGTCATTTACTAAGCAGGTGTTATATTTCCTCTTTTTTCTCTCAAGGAATCAGCTTTTAATGGGCTACTTTCTAATGTGCAAAATAAAAATCAAAAAGCAATTGGCTGGTTGGGAACTGATTGTTAGGCAGTAGTCCCAAAAAGCCTTTGGGCAGGAATAAAGGCATCTGACTGATTCAGTACAGCTTCAATCACTAAAGATTACACAGTTTAGGAGAAAATATCTAAGTTGAATTTTGATACAGGACTTCTTTCACTTGCTCAGTGTCTATTCTAAATAGCCCATGCAGTGTTTACCAGAAGAATGGTTTTGCTTAGTCCTGTTGTAGGATTTATTCAGCCAATAGTGTACTTCAAGCATATGCAAATCAATAGTTTTGAAACACCTATTCTGAAATGGGGTAGGGACAAGGCAAAGGAAATTGGATAATTCATTCAGAAAGTAAGTTTCTGCTTTCTGCTGATATGCCAACTGGTGAATTGCAGAAAATCAATGTTCAGCTCCTTGTGTTCTGTTGTTAGGTGTCCTGCTTCCAGGTGTTTGGAGTGGTCTTGTATAACTGGGGTTTTGTTCATTTGTTTTGGTGGCATTTTTACTTTATCAGGAGTGTGTGGGGGATATTAAATAAAAACATACAGGACAATGCTGCATGTTAAAATGTAGAGAAAGCCCTTCTCACTGATATGGTTGTGTAGGCAAATGCTGTAGGACTGGTAAGGAATAATATTAACAAAAATACTGCAAATAGAAAAACGCAGACCTGACAAAATGAGATAAACTTCTTCAATGACAAGTCTGTCTCAATAAGAGCAGCAGAACAAGGGAGAGAGTTTCTTCAGTATAAATAATGGAATTTAACTGAGATTTCTAGTACTTCAGTTTGATTTTACCTTCCTTTCACCAATTAAAGCCCTATTCAGTCCTTCCTCTAAGGACCCACGTTATGGTCTCTGAAGGAGGAGGTGGAATTCCTTCCAGCCAACTTCCAAAAGCACTGGCTGCCCACCCTGAGTTTGAGGAGGCAGGTGAAGGCACTGAAGCATTTCTTGGGATCTGATATAAACTGTAAAGCATTAAAATACTGTTATATCATTTGAAAGCATGTAGACATGTATTAAACTGTAATCACTCTCCTCTGTATGGGAACGGGGAAAATGATATCTCACATTACACCAACATACAGCTACAGCACTAATTAATTTCCTGGTTAAAGCCACAGATAACTCCATAAAATAATTAGCAATAGCTTCATAGATCATTTACCAAGTATCTGGAATTCAGACATATTTTCTCTAGGAGAATGGTTAGTTTCCCTGTTAGTCAGCTTCTTCAACTATCAACTACATCAGTAGCATTATGGGGAGCTCACAGCAACTCCATAACTGTTTTATCAGACTTGAAGAAAGATCATTATCCCATAAAACAACAGTGTAAGCCGCTCTCATTTCGCTCACTTAACCCTTTGTCTTAATTCACTTGAAAACTTAATGGTTCTTAAAAAGTAATTTATTGTGTCCAAGACCAATAACTTTCCAAAGGATTTGTTGTTTGATTGCAGGTGATTTCACAGCCTTATTAAGATGCTAGGATCTCTATATTCAGCAGTAGATTGAATTTTTGTTCTTTCAAGGTTTCCAGACACAGCAGCAATAAAATGTCCACAAGACAGTGAACTACAATGTAATGTAGCCATATTATAATTTATCTGTTTGTACTTTTATACAGAATAATTTACAGAACCACTGTTTGTTCAGAGATTATTCAAGAGGTTACTTAGGGATAGACTTTTGGTCAAGTGTTTTCGTTTCATTACATAGAGTCAGTTTTAACTTCTACCCCAGACATTATACCTGACTTTTCTGAAGGAGCAAGTTTAGGGATTTTCTCTCTGGGGCAAACACAGTTATATGTGTTTCCATGTTACCTCCTCCACCTTTGGAAATGAAAGTGAAATAAGGAACTGAAGAAAAAATCTATTTAATGAAAAAAAATCTGTAATGTTCTAAGACTGGCCTTCTCTCTGGCCTCATGATGTGAATACTGTTTTGTCTGAAAGAAGATGTAGTGGCATTGTGTGGTATTATCAGACTATTAATGAACTTCCAGAGTTGTCATCAATAGTACTAATTCTGCACAAATGAAAAATAATCACCCAGGAGTCAATCAATTTGACACCTATAACACAGAGAGTACTCTGAGAAGAAACAGGAAAAATATCTTTGCAAAATGAAAGTTGTAATAAAAAATTAAATATTATCTTTAATGAAGGGGCTTTTCATACAACAAAAATTCTCACAGCACCGGCTTCAGAATCCATGTCTTGTTTCATTAAAAAAACATATATGGAAAAAGGAACTGTGTGCACATAAAATACCCAGTAGACATGAACTCTTGTTATGTTCTGTGAACACGAGACAGGAAAAAGACCTGTTCCAAAGAATTAGTGAAAATATACAGATTTCATAAAGCAGCCTGGTTGCCTGGGAACTCAGTGAAAAACTCAGAGCAGTTTTATAGCTGATCAAGGTTCATTCAGAAACAGATAAAAAGTTCTCATCTAGAAAGAAATGAAGATGCATTTCCACTATACACTATATAATCTGCTGTTCAGGCATTCCATAAACATCCTCATGGTAAACCTTACAGATTTTTTTTCTTTTGTGGCAAAACATCACAGAATACCTTAATACAGCTGGAAAATTTGTCTTCATATCTAAACCACAAAGAGATAAACACCTAAGGAAATACTAAGAATGCAACACAATGATGGATTTTTGTGGAGAGAGGAACTGGAAAGAAAATTATTACTTTGTCAGTGATACTCTAGAAGTACAACTAGTTGTATAATGAAAAGAAAATAGAAAAAAAAGAGAATAAATTTAATCTGATAATGAATTCTGGATTATAGAAAAATTCTTGATGGAAATTACTTCTTCTGGAATTTGGACAAAGCAGTGCATGGATACACTGGGATGGATTGGTGGAACAGGAGCTGGAAGAGCTCTTAGTATTTTTCCTCCTCTTTCCTAATTCTTTTCTCTTATAATTGAAAACATGAAGTATTTATAGCATTTTTGATGCCATCTCTAGAGTAGGAAAAAGTTAATTCCACATTTTATGTGAAGGAACTCCTAATTTCTACAGGAACATCTTGCAGTGAGCTACCAATATTAAAAATAAAAGGTGAGAACTATCAGCATTTAGTTTAACATCTACATAAGGGCTATTTTTACAGAAATCCTTTATATTCTGTAGAGATAGGCACTCCTATTTCCTACATCATTTTATATTGCCAACAGTTTTTTTATGAGCCATATCAACAGAACAACCCACAGCCAGAGGGGGAAACCACATAAGTTGTACAAGCTAGAGTACAAATGGTAAGGTTATTAGGATGTAATGAGACATGAGGATGTAATGACATTAAATGGACATCAAACACCAAGTTCTTGCAGTGTGGGGCAGGATGGTGTGGGGTTTTTTGAGTGGGGTGAATGGGTGAAGCAGCATGCAGAGGCCAACTCTCCTGAGCTCAGGACTGGCAGGACCCTTCTGCCTTCAAGCACATGGCATCCTTAGCAGCAGCCCAGAGCTCCAGAGAAGTTCAGAGAGCAGCATGATCCTTCAGGAGAGGTAGTGACGCCAGGAGGGATCTCTGTACAAATCACAAATGGGACGGGGCTGCTGTAGAACTGCCTTGAGCTGTTTGATTTTCCAGCATCACTCCCATTCCATGGTTATGACAATGGGAAGATGCCACCAGCTCACATCCCAGGCAGCAGACCAAGAACTTAATGTTACAACTCACTTTATAAATTTTTTGACCAAT